ATCTAAGTTCTACAAAATTCTTAACACCACTATAAGCAAATTTGTACCTAATACGACCATCACGAAATCTAAGTATCCGGTGTGGTTCAGTTCTTCCTTAATAAAATTACTTGCTGAAAAAGAAAAACACGTAAGAGGTATCGAATATACAAGAATCCTCGAGACGAAATAGAGTATCACATTATTAGAAAACGTTGTCACAAACTTTATGATGATTGCTACACTAAATATAAGCGAAATATTGAGGCAAGTATTCCTAATAATCCTAAATGTTTTTGGAGTTATATTAAAAATAGGAAAGGTGGTCACTCATCGCTTCCCTCTTGCATGAAAATGGACAATGTTACAGCCCAGTCATCACCTGATATTGCTAATCTTTTTTCATATCAATTTTCATCTGTATATACTTGTGATGAATCACTTGTTGGCAGTTCCACTCCAGACGACATTGGCAATGTTGACGGCCTAATGTCCCTTAGCTTTAGAGAGGATGAAATATCTAAGAAAATAAAAGGTCTTGATACTAACAAAGGAGCTGGGCCAGACTCGATTCCTCCTATCTTTGTAAAACGATGTAGATTTGTGTTATCTTTGCCCCTAACTATTATTTATAATAGATCTCTTAAAGATGGTGTTTTTCCTGAAGTATGGAAAAGGTCTCGTGTTGTACCTGTGTATAAAAAGGGAGATATCACCGACGTAAAAAATTACCGTCCTGTTTGTATTTTATCTTGTTTTTCCAAGCTCTTTGAGTCTGTCCTGTATCCCGTAATCTCCAAATGTTTAGACGGCTGTATCGTTGATGAGCAACATGGTTTCAGAAAAGGCCGTTCAATTCAAACGAACCTCATGTCTTTTGTTACTGAAACATGTCAGGAATTAGATCGTGGGCGCCAGATTGATGCCATATATACTGACTTTAGCAATGCCTTTGACAAAGTCAGTCACGCGTTACTGATTCAGAAGCTTCGTGGTTATGGAATGGGAGAGAATTTGCTAAACTGGTTTAGGTCCTATCTTCGTAACAGGCCTCAGTCAGTAGTTGTTGGAGGCGCTGAGTCTACTCCCTATATTGCGCGATCTGGTGTACCGCAAGGATCTCATTTGGGACCGTTGCTATTCTTACTATTTGTAAACGACGTTAAGAATCATATAAAGCACTGTAAATCGTCTCTCTTCGCTGATGATTTAAAAATTTATAAAGTTATTAACACTGTCTGTGATGCTGCTCTAGTGCAAAGTGACCTTAATGGTATACAACATTGGTGCTTTTTAAATGGTATGATCCTCAATATAAATAAGTGCTTTCATATTAAATACACAAGAAAAAAAAACCACTTGTTACTGTGTATAAGCTTGACGGCGCGCCATTGAAGGAGGTTCAGGAGATTCGTGACTTGGGTGTTATTATTGACAAAAAATTAACGTTTACATCGCAGGTCAATAAAGTAGTCACCACATCCGCACGAATGCTTGGATTTCTTAAACGGAATGCGGATTGTTTTGGTTGTACGACTAAAACAATTTTGTACAACGCTCTGGTGCGCAGTCATCTTGAGTTTGGTAGTATTATATGGAATCCACTATATGCGATCCATTCGCAACGCGTTGAAAGCATACAAAGATCTTTTACGCGACACCTAGCTTTCATAAGCAGAGGATTTTCACATAGGCAACCGTACCATCAGCGACTTAAAAATTTTAATATGTTATCTCTTAACAATCGGAGAGCTCTAGCCGGTGTTACATTCTTGTATAAATTGCTCAACAACCATTTACAGAACAGTGACCTTTTACAGGAAATCAAATTTGTCGTCCCTTACTCATTCCCTAGGTTTAAAATTAACAATATATTCCAAATTCCATCTGCCAAAACCAACCTAGGAGTTCAGGCACCTCTCGTTCGAATTCTTCGCGATTTCAACAAACTGAACACAGCGTATCCAGAGCTGGATATATTCGGTAGTGGGCTGATCGGTTTTAGAGAAAGCATTGTGGGGTGCCTTTCTAGAACCTAATTTCTTTTTTTTCTGATGATTTTTCTTTTTTTTCTGCACATAGTTGTTGAAAATTTTATTTTATTTTATGTTTATGTTAAAAAATTGATTTTATTTTAATGTGTGCTTGCATTGTCGTGTGTGTTTTAGTTGTATTTTTTTTTAATTTCTATTTGATTTTTTTACTGAGAAACTTATGCTTGCATTAACTGTCACACATTTTAGATGTGGGATTTTGTGAAATAGTTGGTGGACTTATGACTGTGTGTGATGTTGTGGGCTTTATAACTAAATAAATAAATAAATATATAGAGACATTTAGTTTTACTTGACGATAGACAAAAATTGACAAGAAAGTATTAATTATATCTCGCAGTTCACACGACAGCAGGATATTTAGAAAATGCCTGTTTTAGTAGGTGACAGCGGTTATCCAGCACTTAACTTCATGTTAACAACACTTTTAAATCCAATGACAAGAGCTGACAATATTTATAATTATTCTCAAATAAGAACTAGGCATATTTTTTAAAGGTTTTTCGGAGTGTGATAAAGGAAATTTCCATGTTTACAGCTAGGACTACAGTCAAAATTGACAAATACTAGTTATATATAATTATAGCTTGTGTTGTATTGCATAATATAGGTATACAGAGAGGGGATGCCTATGATGATGGTGATCTTGCTGACAGCAGAAGTTGAGTAACACAGAAACAATGAAAGATCTCCTACAGGTCTAGCATTCCGGCAATCTGTGATTGCACAATTTAACTAGGTAATTTATTTGGTAATAAAGAATATCAAAACAAAACTTGTTTCATTTTAATCATTTATTTTCTGATTCTTTTTTTAAGTGTAATACATATTTCTAATACTAATTTATATTTTTGTTGAAGAAATTCTATTTCCAACAGATTTTTTTAATTTCATATGTTCCACTCCTATCTCAAATTTTTTAGAGTAGTCAGGTAATAAATGGTAGAAGATTCAGGGAAACGAAAATAACAGATGTGAAGCGAGAGACATCGGTTAGGTTATAGTTTGAATTTCGTTGTCACTATAATATGCCAGGGCTGCCAGGTGACATACAAAATCACACCAGTTATTTTTAAGATTTCTCAAAAATGGGGTTTGAACAATTACATAAATAATATAAATAAACAATAATAAATACCATAATAATGTGTAATTATTTTAATTCATGCATTTCATAGGTATTTATCAAGATCATTTATAATTTCTTTGAATTCAAATTCTATTTTTCCCAAAGTCTATGGAACTCCGATACAAAATGGCAACACCGTTCATTAAAAACCGACAAAAATAAAAAGTCCAGTAAAAGATATGATGGTAAAGCAAATTTTGGGCCATCATTTTTGTTAGGCTTATAGTCAAAGTTTTTGGTAAGTCGTCGATTTCGTGGACTTGAGATTAAGCTAAGCCAACACTAGGGAGAGATTCGCAGTTTGCTCTATAAATACCGACTGTGTCTTAGCTCGATAGTTAAGTCAGAGCAAAGTCTAAGTGCGCACTATAGATCTCACCCTTAGAATCTGACCGTAGTGCAAAGAAATTGTTTAAGAATAAGAGATACGATGGTTGGCAATCATTTTGTGCCTCCATTACTCCAGAAGTCAGCCCGTCAGAGGTCTGGCGTAATATTCGTAGATTCGTGGATATTCTAGTTGTGTACGTTACCGATAACCATAGCTGATCAGTTCGTGGATCATCATGCTCTGTACCGGAACAGAGATTTTCTCCAGCCCTGCGATTCTGTAACTCACACAGCGGTTTTCGCATCGGCGGTCGCTCTCAAATCAGTCGTGAAGCAGTCATTTTATGATTTGGCATTCTGATAAACAATAAACTACAAGTTCCCACCTTTTGAGAATGCCAAATCATAAAATGACTGCTTCACGACTGATTTCAGAGCGACCGCCGATGCGAAAACCGCTGTGTGAGTTCGAAAAGTGAGTTACAGAATCGCAGGGCAGTATCTATTACTGCTACTTTTCTGATAACCTTACTGGAAGGCTCCTTTTGTCTTTGCTTTGTTCTTTAAAGTTGCCGGGATTTACCATTTTACTAACTTTCAAGTTATTGAAAACACAGTAATGGGATTTGTCGGTGGTCATTGCTATATACTTATTACTAGGAATAGTTAAAGAAAATGAATTTGGTCTTTAGGGTTATGTGACGTTGGTAGAGAAACATGAAACATTATATATTCCTTAATATTAAAAAGTGGTACTAGTAGTAGGTAATAGCAAATTTACTCAGATATAAGTGTATAGAATTAATATCTAAAGAATATCAACTCTTAGTTACAAGATAGATGCCTATAATTATCAGCAAGCTCTTCATATAAGTGTTTAGATGTTATCACGGCCAGATGGAGTCTTATCTTGGCTGCTAAATAAAATAGCATTGATAACAACCTCGAATTGGAATGATAGAGCAATAATTGGTGTCTCTAAAATAATAAATATTTCATTTACGTTCAAGAGTATTTCGAATCCGTTTAATTTCTCATTAACGATTTTAGTTCTTTGAGAGTGCTTGTCGATAGCTACATTAAGTTAATTTTCATTATCTATCAACTTTATATAGTATCATTGTATTTTTTTTAAACCAATCTACTAACTAAACTATTATCTTCCAGAAGAGAAACTAACCGCTTCACGTCATGTTATAAAGATCTTCATCATATTTTAGACCGTCCTTTTCGTCCAAGGTGCCGAATATACGCTTTTAGGTGTTTCCTACACCTCCTATCCAGGCACTACGTTTCACTCTATAGTCAATAAGATGTGAGATAGTAGAGAATTGCCTATTCATATCTCCGAATCGTGCTGTTAACCCTTCTTTGCATGATTTTTTTTTTATAAAATAAATCAGGACATACTTGAATAATACGGCCTTTTGTGCCTCTGATGCAAGTTCGAATGCGTTATTGCAATTTACCAAAAATGAGTTAAGACTTAATGAAATTAAAAATTATATTTAGTTCCAATTCAGCCATGGCGAGTGTTGCGGCAGTTTCCTCGGGACGCGAGGGGATTTGTCTTTAACTTCGTTTGTACCTTGCTCGAGTTCGGGAATTTCAATAGTGATTTTGCCTTCTTGAAGTTTTGGCACTTTTGCTTTTGCGATGTAGTAATTGAGGAATTTGTAAACGACAGACAGACAATGACTGAGCCTTAACTTATAGATAAAGAATTTTATATATAAACAATGATCAACGACTTACTGAATTACTGCGTAGGCGATTGATAACAACGAGACGACATGCAGTAGCATTCCGTGAAGATTAGCGACGATTTATTTCTTTCTTGATGTTCCGTCTGACTATTGTTAATAAACAACAGTCAGTCATAATAATGACTCATTGTTATTGTGTAGTGTTACTAGTTTTTTAACATAATATATTTTTAAAGTTAATTGTTTTTGCTATGTTAATGTATATGTTAAATTTTATGATTTGAAGAAATTTTCCGTCTGTAGTCATCATTACTGAAGGACGGACGTCCCCAGCTCCTCCTGCCATCACGTCTCCATACCATTACCACTTCGTCCAGACTGTGGTTCTCTCCTGGCAATATGTCCATAGCTGTTGCTAAGCACCCGTTTATAAATCATAGTTGATTGTCTTGGGGTGATCTTGAGTTGGTTGAGAGTAGTAGCAGTAATAGTTCAAGTTTATGATTATAAAATTGTTTTATTTCCTTAAAGTCTTCATAAAAATCGTTAATGTATGGTGTGATGGAAGCCTTTTATCGTATTATTTTTTTATTATTTTTGTAAAAATTAAAGTATACAACATATTCAAAATGTACATATACAAATAAACAAATAACACATCCACCTTCAAAATCACATTTCAAAGTTGCCCTAAAAAGGTCGTTAATACCAGTATTTACCTTCCTTAAATAAAAGGACAAAATAAAAAGTGAATCAAAAATTTAGACATTACGTGTTTGGGTGTGGATGCACGTATTATAAATACTACCCAATTTTATGTGACAAGCACTTAAAGGCAATCATGACATACATGAAGAGAACATACAAATATCAATCAATCCAATTATTAAACAAAACAAACATTACAAAAAAACAATACTAATCAAACACATTGAAATCTCAAAAAAAATAAACAAAAATAAATTTTATAGTGTGAGGGGAACATAGATATCCAGACCTTGCTCGTTTATCAGAATGCTTAATCTGGACATCGCTGAGCTTTGACCAAAACGCGTTCTACGGAAAGGAGGGACAAATGGAATAATAGGATGCCTGGGGTATCGAGAGGGTACACGAAACTTAAATTTAGATAGAAGGTTCGGGCAAACAATCTGATTATTAAATATCTTAACTGCAAACGATATATCAATTAATTTTCTGCTATTCTCCAATGACAACATCTTAAAGTGCGCCAGTCTGGTTTCGTACGTTGGCAACTTTTTTTTTCGAGATGCCACTGGAGAAAAGCAGAAGCCACAGTAACCTCTTTTGCGGGTTCTACTTTTTATAAATTTGCTCACATCAGCCTGAACAAAGTCACGTGTACGCGGGCTACATAACTAAGCTACAACGGACCGAGGCCTAATACTGTTATTAGTTATTTTAACAACCCTTGTTACGTGCTGAATATCATTTTGAGTGAGCGGACAGTCCACAATCTTGGCTATACGAAGGACATTTACAAATAAATTTTCTGACCTGCCTTGCGATTCTGTAACTCACTTTTCGAACTCACACAGCGGTTTTCGCAGCGGCGGTCGCGCTCAAATCAGTCGTAAAGCAGTCATTTTACGATTTGGCACTCTGATAAACAATAAACTACAAGGAGGGACCTTATCGGAATCGGAAAACCGCTGTGTGAGTTCGAAAAGTGAGTTACAGAATAGCAGGGCTGTTCTCTGAGATCCCATTAATCGATATATTATTCTCCCGGACATGAAGTTCAACAGAAGTTAGCCGGTTCGTTAGGTCAGTCACATTAGACTTTAACCTCTCATTATCTTTTTTTTAAATTGACTATTGCGTTATCCTTCTCCTTAAGAGAAGACCACGGTGAGGATTAAAGATAATAATAATTAATACGACAGCTAGCACAACAGTTTGAAGGCGCCATTTTAATTTTAAAAATTAAAAAAAAAGAAAAAAACAAGTATGTAATTCGGATTGGAACCACGACTGCTGTCCAATAAGCCAAGCCAAGCCGAAATAATGGTATATTATATTCCAGTCCAGTAGTGGACTGCAAACGCACAACGCGTCACCACGTTGAAAAAAACTCGACACTATTTCACTGGATCTATGAATATGATAATTATAATTACTCAAATGTTAATATGTATTATGATCCACTTGGGTATTTTTCCTTTTAGCGTATTGTTTATGTTTAAAATGACCACTGTTCCAGAGCACTTGTTATTATGGTGTAATTTTGATTATCACCTTAACACAGCAACTTGGAAAAGTCATACACTGCACTAATTTGCCTTGCTTAATTCACTTTAAACAACATACTAGCAATATTAGTGGAATTTGATTTGCTTTTCCTCAACAATGATTTTTGTCTATTTACTTTAATTGTCTTTGATATTACTTTTACAACGTAACTCTATATTTACGTCAAAACGTAGTACATCTGTGTGAAAACAATCGTAAGATATGAATGATTTAGACACTAGGTTTGAAATCTAGTGAAGTGCAGTAAAATAAAAATAACACTCTTGCTTTATTAATTTTTTAATATTTTTGGTTCAATACATAGATTGATTTTTAAAATGCTTGCTTACTTATAAATAACATTTTAGTAAAATCTAAATTGATTGCGAATAACTGCTGGCATCTCTAACGAGTTACTGAATCATATGCACAGTTTGCCCTTTGATTGCGGGTAAGGTACGATTACGGGGATGACTGGTTCGATAACTGGAATTTATAAGCGTTATACGGATCTATAGATAGAAATCGTACAAAAACTTAGTCTAGAGCTAGTTTCTCTTGTGCTGGTTCCTAAACAGAAGCCTTAGCCTGCTCCTGAGCATGATCCTGGCTCAGAGCATGATCCTGGGCGTTTGCCTGATCCTGATCCTGAGCATGATCCTGTGCCTGAGCATGATCCTGAGCCTGAGCCTGATCCTGCACCAGAGCATGATCCTGGGCCTAAGCATGATCCTGAACCTTTGCCTGAGCCCATGCCTGAGCATGATCCTGAGCCTAAGCATGATCGTACGCCTGAGCATGATCCTGCGCCTGAGCATGAGCGCTTAAAAATGCGTCTGGAAACGCTTGTGGCGTAAGCGTTTTCAGACGCATTGCTAGTGTAGGTTGTTGCCAGAGCTGTATTTATTGGTATTAGAACATTTGGTACAATGGGCTGAGGTAAGGGCAGTGGGCTTGCTATTGGAACACTTTGTGTTATAGGTAATTGAACTGGAACAGGTTGTACTAGTTGAGTTAAAGGGATTATTGGGACGGGATTGTTAGGAATCGAATGAACGGGGTAGTTGGGATTTTTGAAGCCAGGGTAGAACGGGGGAGTTATAGGTGTATTCCCGGGGTAGAAGTTGCCTGGTGCTGCTGAGTGAGAGTATGAAGTTGGAGGTATGTTCGGTGGTGGATTATAATAATTCTGAGGAATTGGTGCACCTGAAAAAAGAAACACGTAACTGAATTTGCTAATACAAAAAACAATATTTTTTTTTAATGTTTCAAACTCCTGTTAACGTTTAAAATCAAATAAATCATAATAACACCTATCAATGTTCGGGCAAGTAAGTATTTATTATTATTTTATTAAAAAACTTAAGTGCAGGAAAGGCCGGCCCAAACAGGATAATAAGTAAAGGGAAAAGAAAGAAGGGTTCGTGGGTTGACGATCTTAAAGAAGTTGGTGGGGAGATTGGGAGAAAAATGCTCAAGATAGAGAGAGATGTAGCCAGTTGGAGGAAGTTTTTACTCTTAAAGAGGTTATTGAAAAAATTCTAATTATTTTTGTATAAATTTTTAGTGTATCTTTTGTAAATATGGATTCATGTTTCTGATACGTCAATAAAAGGCGGGCTCGGTACACAGACTGCAGACTTCGTAATAGCAGGTAGTCGATAGATGCTACATCTTTTCCCCTACAAACCACGGAATACATTTGAAACCAGTACGTTAGGATACAAGAAATATTACAAAATTTACATAATCTAGTACTTAATAAACTAAACCAAAATAAAATATTTTATCATGACGAACAACTTATCAACAATTATTTTTAGCTCGCTTTAAAGCACGCAATGCTCGAGCCGATAGTTCCTGAGAGGACTCGGACAGGGTCTGTGTTGATTGAGGCTCCACCTGACACGCTTGATCATCTGATTTGTTGATTGTTTTATTAAGATCACTCTCTTCAGTCGTAACCTCCACCATCTCAGACCCTAGCCCATCAATACCCTCCTGTTCTGAGACAACCGCTGTATTGAAAAAGTGTGTTACATTGAAAATCTGTTTTTATTTAATATAATTTGGTCTGAATGTCTACGCCACTCAATACCATTGCCTTAATCAACTTTATAAGAAACCGGGCCCGTCCTCAAATTTCTCCCCTCTTCGCCTATAATCTCTTGCATGTACTGCCTCTCCAATTTCAAACTCTCGCTGAACACGCAGTATTTACGCGAGTTGCCGCTCTTGCTTATCGCGAACAGTGGCGGCTACGTCCGGTCGTATTGCGTCTAAACGGCTACGTAAACGACGCCCTAGCAACGCCATGGCCGGTGAAATGCCAGTTGTGGCGTTGCGATATTATTTAAAAAGAAATTTATCGAGAGCAGCCCTGCGATTTTGTAACTCACTAAACTAAAAAAAACACTAAAAGATAAACAATAAACTACGAGCTCCCACCTTTTCAGAATGCCAAATCATAAAATGACTGCTTCACGACTGATTTGCGAGCGACCGCCGATGCGAAAACCGCTGTGTGAGTTTTAAAAGTGAGTTACAGAATCGCAAGGCTGCGTCAATATTTTCGCCTTCAAAAACTGTCCTTTTAATTGTTTTTTTTTTACGGTTTTGACAACATTTTCTGCTGCTCTATTGCCCTGAGGTCGATAAGGAGCCGAAATTGTATGTTTAATGCAATTACTTACACAATAAGACTCAAATTAAAAAGAACAAAATGGTGGAACATTATCGGTCACGAGCTGTGATGGTAAACCAAATCTTGCAAATATATTTCTAAAAACCCTAATTGTACAAGAAGCGCTGGTATTATTCATTGAAAATACTTCTATCCATTTCGTATTAATTGCATCAACAACAATAAGATACCGCCTACCCCCATACTCCGCAAAGTCAGCATGCAAGCAAACGGTGCCACGTGTGCAAAGGAAACTCCTATGGGTTTGGGCTCGGGGTGGCGCATCCAACACGGACCGATACGCCTTACAGTTCCTACAAACCGTCTCAATATCACGATCTAAACTCGCCCAATACACGTAGCTCCTAGCTAAACTTTTCATTTTATTAATTCCCAAATGAACCTCATGAATTTCATCCAAAATATTTTTTTGTAAATTCGTTAGAACCACAATTCTATATTTATAAATTACACAACCTTGTTCAACTGCAAAATGATGTTTTCTAGCAATAAAATGGTTTTTCACCCTCACAACTCGGAACGCTTGGCCAACCAAAGAAAAATATATCGCTTGATATTACACAAAAGAGAGAGAGAGTTATTTAAAAACGATATGCCTATAAATCTTAAAAAGAAAGTCATGGATTCATGTCTGATCCCGTGTTTAACCTACGCGTGCCAAACGTGGAAGTTTACAAATAAAATAAAAACAAAAATCAATACGTGCCAAAGGGGAATGGAGCGCAGCATGCTGAACATAAGCAAAATACAAAAAATTAGACACGCTGACATAAGATCCAAAACAAAAACAATAGATGCCTTAAACCACACACTAAAACTAAAATAGAAGTGGGCTGGGCATGTTGCGAGGCTCAAAGACGACAGATGGACACAAAAAATTACGACCTGGAAAGGACCTAAAGGAAAACGCTGCAGAGGGCGACCTTTCGCACGCTGGGAAGAAGATATTAAAAAAATAGCTGGCCCCAAATGGCAGCACATAGCGCCTAAATAGAGAAAACTGGCAAAAGCTGGAAGAGGCTTTCACCTGAAGAGGGGTTCCTATACAACAATTAGAATATCAAAAACTGTAAATAATAATACTTAGCATGATAGAAATATAGTCATAATATTTATTCATTTACTAATAGATTTTGTTAAGTTTTGCAAAGGTTTAGAAAACCACATAAAGAAATGTACCTTATTAATTAACTATATTGGGAAATAAAAGGCTTTTTATTTTATTTATTTATTTATTACACAAAAAATATCTTGTTCAGATTCCCTATCTTTATAAGAAATATGTGAAGAGTCCGCAATTAAATTATGGTAATCTACTGAATCTGCAAATCGACCCTCTTGAGGAAGCGGCAAACGCGACAAAGCATCGGCTAAACTGTTATCTACCGATCGTACAAATTCTATCGTAAAATCATATGCAGCCAAACGTGCTGCCCATCTCTGTAACCGACTTGCTGCAGTCAGAGGAATACCTCCCTTACCGCCAAAAATATATGTCAACGGTTGGTGATCCGTACGTAATGTAAAACGTCTTCCAAACGAATACTGATGATGTTTAAAAACACCAAAAACAATAGCGAGCGCTTCCTTGTCTAATTGACTGTAACTACGTTCTGCCGCATTAAGCGTGCGAGAAACACAGCTTACGGGCCGCTTAACCCCGCCCGGATAGCGGTGCGCTAACACAGCACCTAGCCCATAAGCGCTGCTATCCACTGACAAAACTAACTCTCGACCTTCCTCATAGTGCGCTAAAACCGCTTCACTCAAGAGTAATCGCTTTGCCTTCACAAACGCCTCCTCACATTTCGAATTCCAGTCCCAAGAAGATTTTTTTTAAAATAAATTATGTAACGGTTGCAAAAGAGTATTTAAATTAACAATACATTTTCCATAATAATTTATCATGCCTTAAAAAACTTTTTAATTGAGTTACATTACTTGGCGTGGGTGCATCATTAATAGCTTGTAACTAATCTGGTTGCAAACCCTCTTTATTTATATTAAAACCAAGATGCTTAACACTATCTTGCAAAAATTTACATTTCGTAAATTTGACGTTCAATTCTATTCGAGCCTGTCACACAAATGTCATCTAAAAAAACGACACAGCCGCTCACTTCACGCAACGTTTCTTCCATTAATTTTTGAAACTTTTCCGGTATACATGATAAACCATAAGGAGTACGACGATAAGCAAAAGTACCCATATGGGTAGTAATGGCAATGACCGGCTGTGATTTCTCAGATAAAAGACACTGCTCGTACGCGTGCGTTAAATCTATTTTCGTAAACTGCTCCCCCCTCTTAAATTAGCAAATAATTCATCATATCTCCCCATTTTTTTTAACTACTGGTACGATTGGGGTCCCATAATCAGAGTACTCCACCCGATAATGGATCCGTCAGCCGTCTGCTTCAAGACGCATTAGCTCGTTCTCAACTCGCGCGCAAAGTGCTAGTGGCACCGGCCTCGCTCGCACATAAACCGGTTCGTTATCGCAAAGCTGTAATCGCATAGTTTTCTTATATGTGCCCAACTTATTACAAAAAACTTCTGGAAATTCCTTGCTTAATCTATTCACAAAATAATCTTCCGCGATTTCATTAAGATAAATTTCTTTAATATTCAACGCACGTAACCATTCTAGTCCTATTAAAGGTGTAGCACCTTCTTTTATAATATATAAACGTAATGATTTAACTTCCACGACGCCCAAACGCACATTTACCCGATCTGAGTACCTGAATAAGAACGTAAGATTATGCCATCCCTTATAATTACTTTATGACAAAAGAATCTATTATACATTTTTTCACTTATTGCTGATATATATACAACTTCCCGTGTCTACTTCGCATCGAATTAAATTTCTGTCAATAAAAGCTTTTATAAAATAAGGTTCGTTACCCTGACTGCTCAACTTCAACTTAAATAACTCAACATCAGATTCGTCCGACACAAAGTTTTGTCGACCATCACTACCACGCACTTGTTTACACATCACTTTTAAATGACCCCGTCGGCCTCATTCATCACAATTGTATTGATTAAAACGACACTTATCCGCTGTGTGCGCCTTGCCACAGCGCCAGCATGAAACACCATGGTCTGAAGTCCCCGCGCCTCCACCTGCTGAACGCATAGCGACACCAGCGCCCTTGGCGCTCGGTATGTAGGTCGTGCGCGGCTGCTGGCTGCCCACGCCGCCACCGCCACGCGCGTTATGCAAGCTCTCGCTCACCTGACCGCCTGTTGTTCCTGATGCCTCATTCACCGATGCCCGTGTGGACCCACTCACCTCTGCGTGCCTTTCAGCCGCCTCCAATGCCAGTGCCAGTTCCACAGCCTCTTTATACTGTATCTTTGCCTCGGCAAAAATTCTTGATCGCATTGCATCATTCGCCAGACTTGGTACAAATTGATCCCGAAGATTATCTTCTACCGTTAAGCACGATAAACACTTGCCAAAATTACATGTGGATGCTAAGTGCTTAAGGGCCTGCAAATAGTCGGTTAAAGACTCCCCAATATGTTGACGTCGCAAACGAAACACGTGCCGTTCCGCGATTTCGGACCTTTGAGGTTCTGTTACTAATTTGACTAACTCATCAAACATTGAATCTTCAGGAAATCGTGGTGCACAAAGATCACACATAATCATATCAGTTTCTTCCCCGACCACAGTCACCAGCAGTTAATTTTATTCAATTTTATGTATTGTTTCACGCGCCGAATATACGCTGGCCATTGCTTGGAACTCGAATTAAATGGTTCAATTATTCCAATCGACATTATGCACTTTTTAATCGTTAAATAAACCACGTCGCCAAATGATACGTCAATAAAAGGCGGGCTCGAAAGACAGACTGATTTATTAATGTTCGTAATAGCAACTAGGTGATAGATTCTACAGTTTCAAAGAATAAATGAGGCTTAATTGTTATTATTATATTCGTACAGACTGCCTCATCCACACCCAATGAAGTTTAATATTGTGGTATTTCAGTTTTCATGTTATAATTTTTGCATATTGTCTAGAAATAGGTACCTAGTAAATATAATAATACTTATATTAGTAGATGTTTCATAATTTGTAATGATATTTTAGTGTTTTATTCTATTTTTAGAGCCATTTATTCCTGTGTTTAAAGACAATTATTATTCACACCAATTGACCTATGGGACTAGGCTAAGCTGGTGAAGCTTGTGTTATGGGTACTAGGCAACGGATATACATACATATTATAGATAGATAAACATATAAATACATATTTAAACACCCAAGACCTAAGCACAACACCAAATGCTCATCACATCGATGTTCGTCTCAGCCGGGGATCGAACCCGGGATCCATGGATTCGCAGTCAGGGGTAGGTACTAACCACTAGACCAATGAGTCGTCGATTATTATTCAAAAGCAGCCTTGCGATTCTGTAACTCAACAATAAACTACAAGCTCCCTCCTTATCAGAATGCCAAATCGTAAAATGACTGATTTGAGCGCTACCGCCGCTGTGAAAACCGCTGTGTGAGTTCGAAAAGTGAGTTACAGAATCGCAAGGCAGCTATCGTCTCATCGTGACGATGAAGTCATATTATCTGGGCGCGTTTCCCTCATCAAGTGACTGTTAAACGTTACGGTGTGACGATGTTTCTGTGCCTGGATTAGTTAAACTATTGTGTATTCTCTTACATACGGGATTCGAAGTTCGCGCTAAGTCTCGACTAATTAATATTGTGTTGAGCTCTCAGCGATAGACGATTAGAATTATATTTACCTAAAAATATTGTAATAACCTTTTATAAGTAATACTAATAGTCTCTAAATACTTCAATGTGAATTTACTTGACTTGATAAACAAAAATTAATTATATCTCTCGTAACGCTATTTAGCATATAAAATATTTTTATGTGAAATTTTAGTACATTATTTAAATTGTCATTGTAAAATATATTTTGGTTGCCTATGACATTACTTATTAGTAATGTCGGATACTCTGGTAAGTATATCTAATAAATCAAAATTAATAAATTGGAATTACATTGAAATAATTTAATTGTTTCCTAACTCTGGTAAAAATTATTTTAAAACACGATTTCATTTTATTTACCTTGAGGAGCAGCATGAGCATGCAGTATCTGAAATAAATAAAAATAATCATCGTAAAATTTTTCACCATAATACTATAACATCGAAGTACAACATTGCTAGGTTTGATTCCTAGAAAATCTATATCTTTTTCATAGTAAAGACAAAAAGATTGATCAGCTTGCCATATAAACAAAGTATTCCTATTTTTATCTTTTAAAATACTTTAAACAAAAATATTGCCAACGCGACTATGCAATGGGCAATATCCAGTAACAAAATATCAACAATAGACATAACCGGTAATGTAGTTCTTGTTTTGTCATACATTTTAACGATATTTTACAGTATTATATACAGATTATTAAAAAATATATCGTTTCACGTTTATAAATATTACGAGATGGATTAATAAATATAAAATAACTTACGCTTAAAACGAAGAGCGCGAAAGTGGAATTCATTTTGGCCATAGGACCTTAGTATCCGTTAAAGACCGTAACCCAACTGATTTGATCACAGTTATGTCGAGCTTTTATACAGATTTTGAGACAAAACAAAGAAATTAATTTTAATATGCAATAAATTATCAACTACTGATTGAATGCTTAGTTTGCCTTCCATTAGTCAAAACGTACTTATTAACACTTATTAACGTTGTTCCTGACTTTTTTGGGTATCTTATCTCCAGCGAATAGAAATCTGTACATTATACCAAACCAAGTTGTTGTTATATTTGTCTATTTTTTTGATTTACTTACTATAAATATAAAAAAATATTGCTTTTTGTTTGTCACTCCAATACTGGAGAAAGGCTGGACCGATTTGGTTATTTATGGTCTATAAATTTTCGTGGAAGTACATGGAAGATTTATACAATGGGAATCATAAATAATAAGTAAAGAAGAGTAATCTTCCAAAATTGGTGTTTCATAGCTATAGTATCAGGTCCGATCTCATTGTTCTAATTTAAAAATGTTTAATTAAGTATCGACACAAATACATTTATGTAGGTGATACGAAGTTCACCGGGTCATTGGTCTGTATATTTTGAGTTCACAAGAGTTGCTTGCTATATTGTTAGTTATAAATTTTCGGTATATAAATATATTTTTTTTATGTGTTTTATGTAGGATAAGCGGTGTAGGTATTATTGTTTGGTTCTAGTAACTGTTAAGATAGAATAATGATGTGGAAATAATGAAATAAATAAATTTTTAAGTTAATTGTTTTTGCTATGTTAATGTATATAATATATATGTTACATTTTATGATTTGAAGAATTTTCTTCTTTGTAGTCTTCATTACTGAAGGACGTGCCTGTCTTGAAAAGCCCTAACAGATACGTTGGCTTGGCTCCACACCGCTCTACCCTCAGCTTGTCTCAGGGCATTAGGAATGTTGAGACCTGAAGCACCGACCCCTCTCATCCCCCAAAGTCCCTCCCCATCACGTCTCCATACCATAAACACTTTGTCGAGACTGTGGTTCTCTCCTAGCAATATGGACAAAGTAGCTAAACACCCGTTTGTAAATCATAGTTGATAGTCTTGTGGTGATCTTTAGTTGGTTGAGAATAGTAGTAGTAATAGTTCAAGTTTATGAATATAAAAATGTTTAGCTTAAGGAAAGCCTTAATTAAAATCGTGAATGTGTGGTGTGATGGATGCATTTGATCAAATTATTATTATTTTTTGAAAAACCAAAACATACAACATAGTCAAAATGTACATATAATAAATAATTTTCGTCTATCGAGCAACCCACGCTTTTTCACAATTATACCAGTATTTGTTCATTACCATTTTCAGCCTAAATTAGGAATTATTTTACACTTTTTAGTTTTATGTGCTTTAAAAGCGCGTTTTTTTGTTTTTTTAACTATTATTTATTTTTTATTTTTTTCATTTTTTTTTCGGATTATTGCATTGTCATGGATCTTTGACAGGTGCACAAAGTTTGAATTAAATCTGTCCGTTAAAAGTGGGTCAAAATCGAGTCCGAAGGAGTCGGTTACATACATACATACAGGTGAAGCTAATATAAAGCGTGTAAAAATAAACAACAACCATATCCACCTTTAAAATAACATTTCAAAGTTGCCCTAAAGTAATACCACCATTGTCTTTGGTTCGTATATACATGCCAGAATTAAGAATTTGGCAAATCTTTCAGACATGGAAAAGCTATGTTTCTTAAAGTTATTTCGCAGTAAGTCGTAATAGATGACTAATAAGATTTATGACATATAAAGCCATAGAATACATCCTTCCTCTAAAACTTCAAAAAGCTGTAATTTTTACAGATTCACTGAGGTCTTTAAATGCCCAAGCCCGGTTCCCGTTTGGCTCACATTATCAATTCCCTGTCATTTCCGAAATTAGAAACCTGCTATTGAAATGTTTTAAAGAAATTTATTCCGTATCGTTTACATGGGTTCCTGGTCACTGTGGAATATCTGGAAACGAGAAAGCCGATCATATAGCCATTGACGCGATGGAGAGTGGAGACGAGGATATTTTTATACACTATGCCCATAACTTGATGGCTCTTTCCGGGATTTATCAGGAATTCCTGTACTGAATCCTGGGCTCAAGACAGTTCAATAGGTCGCCATTATCGTGTTATTCAAACTTCTATACCCATTAAGGCCCTATCCCAGCACGAATTGCTGTGTCAGTGTCTCGGGGTGGACTGCGGTGCGCAGTGGAGAGGCGCGTCGCGTCGGCCCGTAATAACAATTACATAGTTATGTAAAACATTAAATTAATGTAATTCTATCATTTTTTTTTCTGAAATGGATTACTTGGCTTGCGATTAAATATATCGTGTAAATTTCAAAATTATGTTCTACATACATTTTCGTCATAAAATGAATTCAAAGTGTTAAAAATTGGCTATGTTTGGATTTTTTTTCTATCGAGCGAAGTTATTTAAATCGTGTATCGATCTTTCAAAATGTATACATATACTACTCAACTCCACCATATATTTTTTCCATTCGCCCTACTTCAAGAAACGATGACGAAAAATGGAACGAAACAATGTACTTTTTTGGAGTTTAGCGATAGGATAGGTCCTTAATCCCTGGTTTTGGAGACTGAGATTCATTAATATGCACCTGAGACACGTCTGCACCCTAGCTTATCTTAATATAATTGACAGCCCTTCGTGCGAATGCGGATATGTTAAAGCTGATTTGAACCATGTCCTGTTTGTTTGTTTTCGGCGCGACCGGTTGGCTCTTCTTGAAGGTCTCTTTACCCTTCAAATTCCTTTCCCTTCATCCTGTTTACTTGCAACATTGGACCCACATGTATATAAACTTTTAGCAGCTTTTATCTAAATGATATAAAAAAAATTGACAATATTAACTTAAATAAAAATATATGTAAATATCTTTTCTTACACTCCTTTTTAATTAGCTCTTTAAGAATTGATCTTTTATTTTATAGATTATTTTCTATTCCTAAATTCCGTTCAATCCAATAATTTTTTACCCATTTCCCTATGTTTACCCTGGGCCACAATGCACAAACCGTGCAGGCTATTAAAAAAAAAAGAAAATTGAAGTAAATAGACAAATTATTGCTAAAGAAAAGCTGTAACTCTCGTGGCAATTTAAAATTTTGACGATGGATTTCAGAAGCGGTATCAAAACACAATTATTTTTACTATAAAATATCGCTTTACAAATCTTT